CAGTATGACAGATCCCCTCTGCTCTAACCCGTATACAGAGAAATAATCTGAAATGACTTGACGTTAGCTCATCCACGGCTCTCTGGTGACCATGTCTCCCTTGCCTTCATTTACAAGGACAGTAGCTTGGAAATTACTGATCTGCTTTTCCGGCCTTTGTCTCTTCAAGCCCTTCTCTGTCTGTAAACCAACCTTACCTGCTACGACATTAGAAATCTTACTCTTTTCTTTTTTTTTTTTTCCCAGAGTAAAACAAAGATATCTGCTGATATGAGTGTGTTGCATGTTTTTATGTGCATGGGCATGAGGGTCCCAGGAGGCCAGAAGAGGGTGTTTGATCCCCTGGAGCTAGAATTATAGATGGCTGCGAATCACCAAAGTGACGTGGTTCCTGCGAAGTGAACTCTGGTTCTCTCCAAGAGCAGCAAGTGCTCTTGACTGCTGAGCCATATCTCCAGACCCCCAAACACTTATTCTGTTTTGTGCAAAGAGTTGTTTCCTGATTATAGAAGAAAAAAATCAAACTTCATTGGGATTTTTAGTTAGGCTTGGTGGTGTGCACCAGTAGGTATTTGGAAGGCTTGAGGTGGGAGAATTGCTTGAGTCCCAGACCAGCCTGGAGATGTCTCAAAAAAACAAAACAAAACAAAACCCAAAAAATTCTTTAAACGAAATCATTTTAATTTTGCTCTTTAACTCTAGGAAGTCATGTGATAGCCAGAAGATGGGACCACGTGACAAAAGGGACGAGCTGGGGGGGCTAAGTCTATGAACCTCACTGACACCTCACTAGTGGATTGGAACCGGAAGAGTATCTGGCCCCCACTGCCCTCACCGCGCAGGGCCAGGGTGAGGGCAAGGTGAGGTGCGTCACTAACTCTTTAATGTTTTATTTCATTGTTCTGCTGGAGACCACAGCCACTGACTTCCCAGATCATCAAGAGAAACAAGTCACAAGAGCCGGCGCGGCGCGTCAAACCCGAGTTTTAACACTTCCCAGTCTCTCCCACCCCTCCCCCACTAATATGCTGGCTCCGGAGACCAGAGAGAAAGGCTTTTCATCAAATTAAGATGTAAAATGCTTTCTTTTCTTACTGCCTGGTGACCGGGGACGTTCTGCTGACTCAGCAGCGAGTAATCAGCTTTGACCTAAATAATAGAATAACTCACAGCGCCCTGGCGGTTGCACAAGCCCAGGTCCAATTCCTCAGTTCCTTCTTCTTCTTGTCCTCTCTCCCCACCCCCTCCAGGCTCTGGGCAGGCAGGCCAGTTACATCAGGTTCTTTCTGCCTCTCCACCCCCATCTGGCTTCTCCCAACTCCATTTCTCTTGAGAGAGCTTCCAAAAATGATGCCGCCACAGCGCTAGGCCCGGCCTCTTCTCCTCCTTCTCCTAGCAAACCCTAGCCCCGGGCTTTGCCACACCCACTCGCCTCACTGTACCCACGTTATAGACCAGTGATTGCTCCACCAAGGGTGGCCTTCCTTCAAACCTCTTAAGACTCAATGGTCCAGTCAATCATCAGCCAAATGGGACAGTGAAAAGCAGAGTTTCCTGGGTAAATGTCCCCTTCCCCACCCAGCCATGCTTTCTGTCCTGGCTGGTTTTGTGTGTCAACTTGACACAAGCTAGAGTCATCAGAAGAAGGTGCCTCAGTTGAGGAGATGCCTCCATGAGATCCAGCTGTAAGGCATTTTCTCGGTTAGTGATCAATGAGGAAGGGCCCAGCCCATGGTGGGTGGTGCTATCTCTGGGCTGGTGGTCCTGGGTTCTATAAGAAAGCAGGCTGAGCAAGTCATGGGAAGCAAGTCAGTAAGCAGCTCCCCTCCATGGCCTCTGCATCAGCTCCTGCCTCTGGGATCCTGCCCTGTCTGAGTTCCTGTCCTGACTTCCTTCAGTGATGATCAGCAATGATGAAATGTAAGCAAATAAACCCTTTCCTCCCCAGCTTGCCTTTTGGTCATGGGATTTTGTCTCGGCAATAGAAACCCTGACTAAGACACTCTCTGCTGCTTCTCTTGAAAGTATGGTGAGGTTCGGTGTCTTCCTGCCTCCATCTCCAAAGCACACTGAGACTATTTCCCATAGCTGGCTTCCCCGGTACCTGCTAAGAGGTTGGGCTACGCTGGATGTGGCTGTGGTGGGAAGAAGGAATACTGGAATAACAGGGTGTGTGTGGCACCCTCACCCAAGGTAAACTCAGCCTTCAGGAACCTGAGGCAAGAGAATGACATGTTCAAAACTAGGCTGCGTAGTCAGTTCAAGGGTGGCTCGGGTTACATGGTAGAGCCCTGTCACAGAGCAGGGAGTGGAGCTGATCAGATGTGACGGGGGACAGCCACAAGTTCAAGGTTTTGAGGCCAGCCTGGTCAACACAGTGAGTTTCAGGGTAGCCTGATTTATAGACTGAGTTTCAGGTCAGCCAGGGCTACATGCTACCTAGCAAAAGTTTGTCTCTAAAGCTCCCTCGCCCCAAAGATGCCATCGTTGTGAAGCAGGGCACCAACACATCGTTTTCAACACAGGCTGCCGCGAGAGACTATTTGAAGAAGGCTAGAGAGGTGGGTTTGTTAAAAAGTACTAGTAGGAGAGGTGACTTGTGATCTCAGCATCAGAGAGGCTGAGGCAGGAAGAGTTTGAGGCCAGCCTGGTCTACACAGCAAGTTCAAAGCTAACTTGGGCTCCAAAGCAAGACGGCCTCCCCACATCTCCCAAAACAAAACATTCAACAAACTAGAAAACAGAATCTCACTCAACGCATCTGGGGCCCTTCCTCCGCCTCCACTAGTCTCCTGATGGAAGCAGGAGGAATACATTTGGGTTTAAGATTTTTTTTTCTGCTGGAATAATACCTAGACTCATGTCTCGAGGATAGTGAAAAGTTACTATTCCCAGAGGACAGGACTGGATCTGTTCATCTGGAGGCGATTTCCCTGCAGCCCCAGTCAGGAGGCGGAGGAGGGCCACACCGACTTTATTAGATCTTTGACATCAAGAGAGGGAGGCAGCAAGTGTCTCCAGCTCTCCTTGGCTTGTCTGGGCAGTGTCCAGGGAGGGGAGGCATGGGGTGTACTGTATGCAGCCTGCCTCTCTGGAGCTGGCTGGAGAGAGAAGAGCTCATCTTACCAGCCGGAAGGGCTGGGGCCATTCTGGACTGGGCAGGGTGTGAGTGTGCACAGACCTCACACCTCCAGAGTCATTGTGCAAAGTGTCAAACCCGGGGCAGGTCTGCGGTAAAGGAAGCGCACACTTCGGTCTGGCTCCTCTCCTAGGGGAGGGACCACGCAGTCGCGGAGTTCTGGATTTCTAGCAGAGGGTCAGAGGAGCCCTGTTGTCTGAGACTTTCGTAGCCTCAGCAGAAAGGAGGAAGCTGACTGTGTGCACAAGCCACTGAAACAGCAGCAGCTGGCACCCATGTGCTTCCTTCTTCCTCCTCGTGTTAGCTTGTCTGATGGCAGAAACAGCAAGTTTTCCTGCATTCCCACACTGCCCCCAGTTCCAGCTACAGAGCCAGTCGGTGACCCTAAAACCCATATACTCCAACTCCCCTTCAGGCTGACTCAGGGTACAGAAAGATCCACGCTCCTAACAGACACCCCCTCTTGACTGACAAACACACTGGGTTGGTTCCAATTCATGATCCGATCTTACAAGGAGGCAGGACAGCAATCAGGACGTGTGGAGTAGAGTTGAGGGTGCTGGAAGTGTGAATCTGGGGTACACACTCCTGTACCCCTGGGTCTGTAAGCAGACCAAACGTGACTGTTGCCCCCAAACGGGATTTGGCCTCACACTTCCCCTTGCCTAGGTGCAGAGTCTACGTCAGGGCTGATCGCCCGCCACGGCCATACAAAGCCCTCTTGCTAAGGTCTCAGTTGCCTGTCCTGGGAGGTCGTCTAGATCACACCAGCAAGACAGAAGGACAATGGCTGGACTTGGAAATGAGCAGCAAGGCCAGTCCCCACACGGTCAGAAGCTGTGTAGGGAAGCCAGGCCCCGAGTCAACTCTGAGGGCAGCCCCTGAGACAGACAAGCAGTTGCTTGAGGAGTTAGGGGTTGAGTAAAAACGTGGAGTTATCCCAGCCCACTGAGATCATTGCTATCAGAGCCTGGAGCTGGGAATGCCTAGAGGTCAGCTCTGCAGAATCTCTCTCAAGGATCTGCTGAGTCCACCTCGCAGGCAGCTTTCCTTCCCTAGTTTACACTGCAGCCAACTAGATCCTTATGTTCTTCACTTAATGAAACAAAATAACTCATCCAAGGCAGGCTTGGAGGCTCACACCTTTAATCCTGGCAGTCAGGAGGCAGAGGCAGGCTCTGTCAGTTCGAGGCCAGCCTGGCCTACGTATGGAGCTCTGGGACAGCCAGGGCTACACAGAGAAACCCTGTCTTAAAAAAACCAAAACCTCTCCAGGGCATGGACCAGGGATAAACTCTCCTCTAACACACTTCAAAATGTGTGAGAGTTGGCAGTTTCTCATCCCCACAACTGCCTGTCATGAGCTAATCAGGGTTTATCAGGCGCTAACAGCAGAGGTGGGAGGAGCTAACAGCAGAGGTGGGAGGTGCTAACAGCAGGGGTGGGAGGTGCTAACAGCAGGGGTGGGAGGAGCTAACAGCAGAGGTGGGAGGAGCTAACAGCAGAGGTGGGAGGAGCTAACAGCAGAGGTGGGAGGTGCTAACGTGAAGCATCCTGGCACCGAAAGCCACTGTGTCTCTGAGGAGTCATTTCTACTTCTTGTCTGTGATAGGCTTTCTCTCTGTAGCCTAGGCTGGCCTCCACCTCATTATCCTCCTACCTTGGCCTTCCAAGTTCTGGGATTACAAGCGCATGCCACATACTTGGCTTTCTATGCAACACTAGGTAATTCTATGGAGAATCCACTCATCCAAAACACATTTGTATGGAATGAGAAGGAGAGAGAGAGAGAGAGGAACCGAGACATGAAGGTCATCAGGAAGACCGAGGGAGGTTGAAATGAGGTCCAGATGCCACTTACGCAAGCAGATGGCAGCCAGGAGTCGCAGGCCGGACTCCGGGGGGAAGCAGGTGGGGAAGAGCGGCTGTAGCACATAGTTGGAGAAGGTGAGGGCGATGACCGCTTGGTTGGTGGGGTAGATCACCAGCACAGCAATCCACAGCCGCAGGAACCTGAGGGAAGAACAGGGCAATCGTCAGCTGGCATGGCACGGAGCCAGGGTCATCAGCAGAAAGCCCAGGCAAGGGGCAGGGATGGGGGGACATCTTGAGCAAAGGAGCAAGTACCAGTGGGTTAAAGGCCAGAGACCCTGAAGAGGCCAGCTCCCACCCTACCCCAAATAAGACCCTAAGCCCTCTGTAAGGCCAATGACATGGTGTAACGGCAAAGCCCTACACGCATTTCAGCTAGTGTTGACACACATCCTGGTGTTTGGGTTCTCTCCTTTCCCTTTTAATCCTCTCTGCAACGTTAGCCCTCTACATCCACTGGCTGAAAAATTAAATACGCAACCCCCGAATCCTGACAGCAAGAACACCCTAAAGGTGTGGCTACCTAAGCAATCGCCAGGGAGGCATCAAAACAGGAATGTGCAGGGTAAGCGCCTTGCGCACACTTTGGCCCTTGAGTGATGGATGATTTCCCCAGTCAGGGTTAGAGAAGCCAAGAAAATTCAAGGTCAGGGCTTGACTCTGGAGGGAGGCCATCATCCTTGGCAATGTGAGGAGGGGTGTGTGTGCTTCATCTCAGGATGCTCTGACTGGGTACAAATGTTCTCCCTAAGGAGGTCACCGTCATGTGTCACAGTCCAGGGCTTTCTTCCTGTGATTGCTTTCCCTAGAATTCTGTGGTCAGTGTTGCCATCTACTCTGCTTATAGAATCTTGTCCATCTAGTTCAGTGATAAGAATTGTAACATGGCTCATCTGCTGGTTCCATGATGGGCAACACACCTGAGACTAGAAACTCCTGTCCTTGGCCTCTTTTGATCTGACCCTCCTGTCCCAGATGTCTCCTTTTCCTCTACCAATGGCACCAGCCTGCAGCCCGTGGGCCACATGTATCCCAGGACAGCTATGTGTGTGACACAAATACACTTTTAGATGACAATGTCATATCGGTATGTTAAAAGGTTGGACGTCCATGTTGGGCCATTCAGGCCTCCAGATTTGCTCACCCAGCCAGTCCTCCGAAGATGTCCTTGACGTAGGAGTAATCACCTCCAGATTTAGGGATGGTGACACCCAGCTCAGCGTAGCAGAGGGCTCCTACAGCCGTGATGATCCCTGTCACGATCCAGACGATGAGAGCAAGGCCCACAGAACCAGCGTTCTCCAGCACACCCTTGGGTGAGACAAAGATCCCGGAGCCGATGATGTTCCCTGCACAAGGCACAAAGACTCAGTGAGGTCAGGGCTGTCGGCATTTACAGGGGCCATCTCGTCTCTGGTCTGATTCCGAAGCGTCTTTGAGATGGGGGAGGGGGCATGTCCTCCAGCAATGATCTGACTAGGCTCTCATCTCTGATCTAGTTCTAAAACGTCTCCAAGAATCTTCCACGATCTCTGGGCAGGTATGTCCAGGAACAATTCTTCCTAGAGTAGGGTAAAGGGCAGAGAACTGACATGTGTTCACCAGGAACTTACAAGCCTCATTTAATTCCCTGAAAGATCCTACGGAGTCAGATAACATTGCTCATATTTTCAGTGGAGGAAAATAAGTCTCAGGGAAGCGAGTGAATTACGGGAGGCCACACAGTAGCGACTGCGGTAGAAAACACTGCGTCTCAGAATGTTCTGGCTGGGTACACAGGCTCTAGCCAAGGTGGCAGGCTCTTAGACATGGCTAAAGAGACAGGACTGGAAACACGCTCTGCTCAGACACCATCTGCCAACTGGAAAGCTTCAAAAAACGAGCCAAAGGGCAAATTCCTTTAGACAGGTTGCGGCTACACGCTATGACAACTTTGTGACTATCGGCGGGGTACAGTGACCCACACTTGGAACCCCAACACTTGGGAAGCCGAGGCAGGAGGATGAGGAGCTCCAGGCTAACCTGAGCTATAGAGTGAGACCTTGTTTCAAAACAAAACAAAACATTTACGAGTGGCGATAACAGCCCTGGAGGCTGCTTTCTACACGGGCTCACCAGCCCCACCCTTGTTGAACATGAAACAAACCCATAAACCAGTCGCGGTTGCCTAGCCCCGGCAGTACGTGTGTGCGAAGTCGCAGTACGTGCGAAGCCGCAGTACTGCATCCCAGAGGCCTCCCTCTCCACGGTGTCATGTGACCCTCAGAACCACCTTGTAGAATCCAGGGAGAGGAATTTCTCTCCACTTTACTGACCAAGAGATGAAGAGACTGTGGGGTTAAGTGGCTTTCTCTAAATTCCTCAGCTACTGATGGGTAAAATTGGATCTTGAAAGCTGTCTCCTGATGCTTAATCTGGTGCTCTTTTCACTAATCCACTTCTGCATGCTCCAGGTTGGCGTCCTCTCAGAGAGAGGCCAGCAGCATAGGAAAGGGGCTCCTGGGTCATGCGCACTGGGCAGGGCAGGAGGTGAGCAGGGACAGCCCCGACACAGGTCTTTCTAAATTGACTTCATTCATACCTACATTGAAGGTGGAAATGAGGTCCCTTTGAAAGCTCCCTACTCAATGCCTGAGGGATGAGGCAGAGACCAGCTAGATCCAAGTGGGAAAGGCAGCCCTGAAGAGCTCGCCTCAAAACCACCAGGGAGATAAGAAGTGTAAAGTCTGGGCTGGAGAGTTGGCTCAGTGGTTGAGAGCACTTATTGCTCCTGCAGAAGACCTGGGTTCAATTCCTTGCATTTCCATGGGGCTTGCAACCACCTATAACTCCAGTCCCAGGATATCCGAAGCCCTCTTCTGATCTTTGAAGGCATTAAGTGTGAATGTGGTACACACACACACACACACACACACACACACACACACACACACACACAGGCAAAACACTCCTCATATAATAAAATAAACCTTTAAAAAATACACTTCTTTCTTTCTTCTTTTGTTTTATTTTTCAAGATGGGTTCTCTGTGTAGCCCAGGCTGTCCTTGGAACTTGCTCTGTAGACCAAATTGGCCTTGAACTCCCAGAGATCTACCTGTCTTTGCCTCCTAAGTGCTGGGATTAAGGCATGTGCCACCACCACCCAGTGAATAATTTTTTCAAAGTGTCTAGGTTTCACTTTCTAAAAACAGCCAGAACTCAACCTCAATTCAGTTCTAAGATACTCACTTCCATGACAAAATTCAACTGTATTTTCTTTTGAGATGAGGTTGTGCAAAGCAATTAGTTAGCTAAGCTGGAACTCTGGTTTGTAGACTAGTGGACGAGGCTGTCCTTGAACTTGCACCAATCCAACTGTCTCTGCTTCACAGGTATGCAACACTATGCCTGGCCCCCAAAATACAATTTGCAATCAGGGCCAGGAATACAGTTATGAATTAAAGGGAAGAAAAGAATATTCACATTCTAATCCTCTATTCCTCTCAGATATCAAATATGGTGTTACTTTTCAACTAAAAAAAATGTAGTGTGAAGTACTCAGTACATATATGTATGTATGTATACTTAACATGAAAGGTTGTTTTGCCTATATGTAAGTCTGTGACCACATGCATGCCTGGTGCCCACAGAGGTCAGAAGAGGGTGTCGGATTCCCTGAAACTAGAGTTACAGACAGTTGTGAGCCACCATGTGGGTGCTGGGAATTGAACCCAGGTCCTCTGGAAGAGCAGCCAGTGCTCCTAACAGCTGAGCCATCTCTCCAGCCCCTGAGGCAGGATTTTGACTTTGAGGTCACCCTGGACAAAATAGTAAAATTAAAAAAAAAATCCCACCAAAACAAAACAAAACAAAACAAAAACAAACAAACAAAAACCCCCAACCAAAAAAGCCCAAATAAAACTAAAATAAATGTTTTTTATTTTATTTTTTAAATCAGAATGGTCAGGGTGGTAGCACACATCTTTAGTCCCAGCATTCAAGAGGCAGGTGCAGGCATATCTCTGTGAGTTCAAGGCCAGCCTGGTCTATGTAGCAAATTCCAGGCCAGTTGGGGCTGTAAGTGAGACCCTGTTTCAAAATTTAAAAAAAAAAAAAAATCAAAGCCACAGATAGAAACACGTTCCCTTTCCAACACGTTTCCCTTCAGAGATAAACACAGAAATAAAACCAAGGGGTAAAACAGCCCCTCAACATCAAGCTCAAATGTAAATATCAGGCCAAGAAGAGGCAGACAAAAGGGGTCGGTGCTTACAGACATTTCCCCCCTTCCCCTTTCTTTACATGGTATGTGAAGTCCTTTGACAGGACAAGAAGACATCTTTGTCACCCATGTTCTCTATGAACTGCTGTCTTAGTGGAAACTTAGAGACCTTCACCTAGTATTCCAGGCCCCAGAGCATGGTCATCCTGCCAGGTGATCCTTCAAGCTGGGCAGTGTGGCCGGTTCATAGTAATAATCCCAGCACTCAGTAGACCGAGACAGGAGAATTGCCTTGAGTCTGAGACCAGTTCTTGAACCACAGTGTTCAACTCTGTCTCAAAACAAAACAATAAAACAAAAATACTCTTGGCCAGCCAAAGCTAAACGTCATGCTATTCCCTGGAAGACAGGAAGCCCTGGGAAAGGAGAAAACTAGGGTCAAGAGTTGCTGAAAGAGGACCGTAAATTCCTTGCCTATCCCAGAATTATCAAAAGAATGATCTAAAGGACATTTCACAGCCTTCTAAGAAGAAAGAAATAGAAACCCATGAAACCAGCTCTAGGGTGAGAAAAACAAGGCTTGACTTCGATCTTACGATCTTAGGGTAGTAAAAAAGGAAGGGGAAACGGCCAGGTATTTCTTGGAACTGGGCATGGCAGTTTCGGTGGGAAGGTGGGTGGATGGGTGTCCTGTTAAAGGCTCTGCCTGCTCAGGAATGAAGAGTCAATGTTCCACTAAGGTTTCTGGGCAAACAAACAGCCACACGGATCAACCAGGATCATGAGTACTTCTGCAGTCTCCAGGACACTGTCAGAGTACACATGAAGTATACGGCACTAGTTGATCTTTGAGGGGTCTGTGGACTAATTATTTCTTGGAGGAAACAAAGGAGTTGTTTATTATTATCCCCATTTTACAGTTGAAGAAACAGAGACCCAGAAAGGTATTGTGGGATATTTGTACACTATGTGAAGATATATGTATATATATATATATATATATATATATATATATATATATATATATATATACACATACTGATGTAATAATAAGCTGAATGGAAAATAGCTAGGCAGGAGGTCTAGGTGGGATTTCTGGGGAGAGAAAAGAAGAAGCAGAGGAATTTAGGCATACAGAAGACACAGAGAGGAAACAGGAGGTACAAGATAAAAGAGAGGTAACGCCACAGATAGAATGTAGATTAATATAAGTGGGTTAATTTAAGCTGTAAGAGCTAGTTAGGAACAAGTCTAAGCTATTGGCCAAGCTTTCATAATTAATAAGAAGTCTAGGTGTCATTATTTGGGAGCTGACTGGTTGGACAGAAAAAGACTTGTTTCCAATGGCGCCTAATGTGAGACATGTACACAGAGCCCATTGCTTACGACGTACAGAGGTATGGTATGGCTCTTTTAAGAGGCTCACCTATGCAACAGAGCACTTGGAGGAGACTAGACAGAAATGTCTGCCACAGCACAGACACAGCAGCTTCCCAGAGCTGGGGTGGTTAGGTGGACCCAAAGCTGGTGGCAGAAGGCCGAGCAGGTTAGGCTTTGGCTCACGTGGTCAGAGAAGGCTGCAGACACACGTAAAGTCAGGTCCAGACCAAGAAGACTTCTGAACAGATATAATATGCTTAAAAATGTGCTTAGATGCTAAAGAAAGAAATGAAAGTGGATATAGACCGTCCTAAAAAATAGTTTAAAAATAAAGTCTTTAGAGAAACAATAAAGTAATATAAAAAGAATAGGCCATGTAAAGATGGGAAATGCACAGGATATCTGGATCCTTGTATGGTATTTTGTTGATTTTGAATTTTTTCAATGATAATATACAAAAAAAATAGCTGTTGAGAGACATTGGATTATGGAAACTGCTAAATTAAACCAACCTATATATTTTAAGAATGCCTTAACTTCAAAATGGAAGTCAGAAAATACATTATATTGGGGGAGAGATTATGCCTTTGTTTCCACAGGAAACAAAACGTTATGGTTCTCTTAAAAATTAATAAAAGTCAGATTTGACTAGGAAAGACCTGAAAATCTTGGCTATAGACATAAAGGGGGGGAAAAAAAACAAAAAACAAAAACCAACCAAACGAAAAACTACAAGACAGGTGACATATATGATGATCCCTCTGTA